TCTGTTCAATGGGCAGTAATAATAATAAAGTAATAATGATAACCATATTTCATGTAAAGCCAGTATTACCATGTGTTGCATGTATAATAAAGCAGATGATGAAATAACTGATGATGAGGCTCGCAGCCAAAATCAATCACAGTGTTAAACATTTCAGGGGGTCATAAGAGGCGTCTCAGGCCGCTTAAATGGCGCTGAAGAGACTCTGAGTATGTCTGCTGTGATCAAATGTCGAAATCACCAAAAATGCTTTTATTTTGAGTTATAATTTCAATAAATGTTTTCAGAACTTTTTGAGGTGATTTCTGTCTTTATTGACGTCTTTTACAAACTGGAATAACCAGCAGAGATGCAGAAGGGCGAAGCCTCTTGGCTCCCAAAAACAAAGGCCAATGCAGAAATGCCTTTAGCCTGCATTCTACCTAATGACCAGTAGGGGGCGAACTATTTAGTTGCAAATGGATCTCGATTCAGGAACTGCATCCTTTGAAGGGTGCATTTGAAGACGGATTACCACATGTGCACGGATGTTGCCAAAACACAACAGGTGCAGATTAAGGTTACCTGAATGTACATGTTGTAGAGTTGAAATGTTTCTCCATTTATTAAACATCAAATAACAAAAATGCATGTTGTGTGTTTATGTGAATTCAGCTGCAGGGATTAGAGGAATGATGTTTTCAGTGGTTGTTGTTTTTTTAATTCTGAAGGGTTTTTGGCTCCAAACATGAGAGATTATTACTGTTTCAATATTATTGAACAAAATCCCTTGATGTCAAATGAAACTCCAAAAGTACATTTGTCTCTCGAGGTCATTTTCTGCGGGAACAATTTTAATCCGGCACCGAGCAAAACCCACCCAACTTCTCTTTGCTGGGAAACTTTGTGACAGAGTTTAGAAGGCCCTAAAGGTCCAACATGTAAGATATCTACTTTATGAAATGATAAAGTGACCTCATTATCTGATCAGACATTAAAGAAACATGCTCTGTTGAAGTGCTGGCTTCTCTGACAACAATGCAGCAGCCAGTATGTCCTCCTTCTAACTTTAGATTCTGCTCCTGAATGCTCTGGATTTGTTTAGGTAGGCAGTTTTCTGTTCGGCATGGCGGCTTGGGTAGTGAGGGATTTTGGCCTTTGTTCATGTTGTGTCATGGCTTCCCCTTGACGCCGGGTGAACAGGTGAGTGTGGTCCATATAATAACCACCATTAAGGCTCCTACAGTCAGGAATTCAAAAGGTGTCAAGACACAAAAGGAAGAGAGCTGTGAGCAGTGAGAAACCTACATGTGTCCATATTTATTGAGCTCATGTTACATGATGCATTTCAGCAGACTGTCTCTTAGGAACGTTTATACATTAAAACACCTGCTAACTGAACATGTCTTGCTCCCATAATAAAAACCGGCTCCTCACTCCACAACTCGGTCTGCAGACAGCTTCCTACTTCACCGTCACTATACAATCAAAGAACAGTGATGTGGAAATCAAATCCATTTATATCACACACACAGAGAGTTCTGCATTCAGTTTCAGGAATAATCAGTCAATAATAAAAAAAAAATGTCATTCAGTGTCCAAATCCTCAAAACACGTTTACAAAGAAATACATTTTTAACGCTTCAATGGAAGAGAGGAGGCTTCGGCTGAGATGATAAAAGTCAAAGTGAGAGAGAAATGAACATTACAAGCTCAACATCTTCTAGAAAATAAACCTTTTAAAGACTGCAGTGCATTGACTAAACTGGTGAGGGAGCGTTTTAATTTAATATAACACGCTATCGTGAAGATAGCATGGAAATTAATCAATAAATCAGGTGAAGATGACGGATTGCTTTAATTTTCCACGTCTGATATTTGCAGATGAATCACAACGCTCCTTGTGAACATTTAAAATTCACTGCACGGTGTATCTGCTGTCACTCGATTAAATAAAATAAAACACACCGATCAGCATCTTAAAGAACATTTACAGAACAGAAGTGAGACTTTTAAAGTTCCTTTTTTGAAGTCATCAAGTGTTTAAAGGAGGTCTATTATCCTCACGTTCACCATTAATCATGTCAGTGTGGGACGCTTATTGAGTAGCGTTGTGAGATGTGTAGCTCAAAAACCTTCTTATTTATCTGAAACTGGCGTCAGTAAAATCCCTCACATCAGCCTCTGCCTGAAACGGTTCATTTCAGCTGCTGTCTCTTTAAGAACCCCCTCCCTCCCCCTCCCTACATGCCCACTTTCCTCCAATTGCAGAAGTCGCTTTTATCGTCTGCTTTTAGATAACATGATAAGCCAGAGGGATAGCGTGCATCTCATTTGCGTTTGCCAAATCTACAAAAAGTAAAGCAAAGAGCAGGAATGAAATGTACAGAGCCTGTACATTTCTGCTGTACAAGTTGTTTTCACTGTTTGACATATACAAGCATCACTTTACCGTTAGCTTTCAAGGTCAGTTGGAAGAAGGTGAAACAGCTGAAAGGGAGGATATCGTCGCCTAGTGTGGGACAGGGATAGTATCCAAATGAAATGGCCTAATCAGGCTATAGGTAGTTTTCAAAACCGAACAGTTCTAGGGACTTTTCCAGTCCAGTTTTCCAGGAACTATCCACTAGAGAGTTCCCTGAGAACTACTCACCATGGGGACTTTTTCTCTGTCTGAATTCTACTGACATACTGAGTGTCAGCAGACTTTATAAATGCTGCCTTAAAACCAGCAAAAAGCAGCACAGAAAAAACTCCTTTAAGTGGTTTGAAAATAAGATGATCCATTCTGGTTTCAAAACAAGTCTGTGAAATGTTTGCCTCAATACTTTGATCCACGCTGAGCAGGAGAAGACGTAACAAGAGCACAGATAGAACATTTAAAATACTGACTTTAAAAAAAATTAAACTCAAAACTTCATAACTCTGTTTACTGTCTCGTGTGTGAAAGACAAGGTAGATAAGCTATGTTCAAAAAAATACTGTCAAAAAGAACACTTTGAAAGTCTTAAACATGTGGCATCACTCCATAAAGTATCCATAAAGTCTATCTGTAATAAATTGAAATCTGTGTTTCTACATACAAGAAGTTTCACAGCAGAGCAAAGCCGCCTCTCTCTGATAAATAAAAACTTTAAGATAAAGAAGAGAATCTGCAGACGCTCTGTGTGAGATCAAAGACTCAGATATGAAATATATTTAAGCTGTATACAGATGTTTATTCCATGTAAACGTTGAATCATAACAACTGTAAGCATCTACTGTGGCTGTGTGTGTATGTGTGTTTAGCTGCTTTCACACATGCACTCATGAAAATATCTAGATAATTACAGGAGGACTGCTCCAGAGATTCTCCCTCCGATTGGCTCGAGCTGAATTCTGCGGAGAATATCCTGCTGCGTTCTCACATCAGCTCACTCGGACTTGCTGCGGAAAAAATACTAGAGGGTCTGGCAGGAGAAACTCAGGGTGAAGTCAGAGGGAAAAATTCAACTGTTTGCGTTCACACATACAGCTGCTTCTGGAAATATCAGTAGTTTTTCATGAGTTTTCTGCATGTGTGAAAGCCCTAAATGTGTGTGTGTGTATCATTTATACCCTAAAATCTCACAGCAGCCTGATTTTGCAGCCTGTTACTGTTAACATGATTTAAATCTCAGACGTCACTAGTGCACAGAAATCCTCCTAAAGCACTCAAACGTTTTGACCCACAGTTTTATATACAGTCTCTCTGATCAACACTCTTTGAGATCAAATCAAACTGGAACCATAAACCAAACGATGCAATAGTAGAAGATCTTTTAAATGGTTTCGACATATGTGTGGTAATGGTTTGATGATGGACAAAGATTGGACAAAAGTTATCTTGATGACGTACTCAGGAATCAACAGGTTTTAAATAACTTTTCATTTTTAAAACTGACATCAGTCGTTTTTAAATTAAAGAAAGCTGAAATGTGTTCTGTAACTTGCACAAAAAATATGACCGTGTGGGCCAGAAGTGCAGCAGCTTGTTATAAATATGAATACTTAAGCTTAGAGTTAGATGGCTTCTTCAGGGAGGTGTTAATGTTTTCATGGAAGAAGAGGAAAAAAGAGTGATAAAGGTCGAGTTTGCACGTTGCGTTTTGGCTGTTCGATTACACCACAGCAGAGTTTTGGGTGCCGGAAAACGCAAAGTTATGAAATCAGTTTGCAAATTTTTGAAAATGGCACGGTCTCTGTTGTCATGTGAACCGGCAATATTCCGTTAACAGAGACTTTTTGCACATGCACATCACGGTTAAATAGCCAAGCGGGAGTAGATGGATAACAACAACAATGGCGGGATCCCGAGTTCTGACTGTGCTGCCCACTCTAATGAGTTCCACAATGCTTCTCCAGCAAAGTGTAGTTTACTGCATCGTCATTCACAGCGCTCTGCCCTCATTTGCAAAGAATCTACCCTGTAATAAGCATCAAAAACTAGAAATGAAAATGTTTTTGAGTCCTTAGAGGAAAGAGGGTTCACATCTAAATAAAACGTAAACTATAACATTCAAATGCAGCAGATTGTAACATTTAAGCAGCAACAACTGGCTCAAATGACAGCGATGGAAGGAGCCGCCGAGGCCTCGCTCTGCACAGTGTGCCGCCTCGGAGCTGTTGTGAGTGGGGTTGACATGTCATGTACGCTGGTGTGATAGTTTAACATTCCAGCTGTCTGCTCTGGTTGCAGCCGGCCACCTCACACTTCCCGCCCGCCGGCCTTTCTGTGATCTGCTCAGCTGCACGCTTGCCAGTCTGGCGGGTTTCATCCACCTCCCCCCTCCGCTGCCTCTGCCCGTCATTATCGCAGTTTTCCCTGTCGTCTGCTGACCGCTTAACGCACGCCTGTCGTACCTTCTGCACTCCACCGTAAAAACCTGGAGTCAATGCTGATTTGAAAAGTTTTAAACTGGTTTGTCAAAAACCTTCAGCTGCTGCCAGGAGGAGAATTTATGTCATTCTAGCACAAAAAAAAAAAAAACAGGGAGAGGAGGAAACAGAAATAGTGTCATTTAAAAATAATGCTGTTTCTAGACTGCAGGATTTGATTGAAAATACAATATATCATAAAATACTGACATTATAATAATTTAAATAACACTTTTTTTAACAAGACAGAAACAGCTGCACAGAGGGAAACAAAAATGCCGGTGCAAACTGTTCCTGCAAATAACTTTTAGCACACATACTGCCGGTCATGTATTCAATACTGCCAACTTGAAATGTGTCTGAGAAAATGGTATATCACTGTGTGTCGTTGGGATATGTTCAATCATCTCAGTCGACTAATGATGAGATTTGAAAAGTCTGCAGGTCTGGTGTGTTCAGGTGCTGTCAGGAAACAGAAGAATTAAAGGTGCCCCTCTGAGTTTTTTGTATAGATTAAATAATCTTTAAGGCTAACTGACATGTTCAATTCCTTTTCAATAAATGTTTCTTATGTCTTTACCTTCCTTCCTTCCTCTCACACCCTTCAGTTTGTTATAGTGAGACACTCGTGGCAGGAATGTCAATCACATAATCTAAACAGTCATCAAAAAACTGCTCCAATGCGCCTCTAGTGGTCACAAACTCTACTGGGCACCTTTAAAGTCTCAAAATGTTTTCTTGTTATCAAACCAAACCATCAGTTTGTCTTTATCAAACTCAAATGACTCTGGAGACTAATTTGAATCATAGACTGTATAAAAAGATGGACAATATGACACTGCTCAAAAAGTAAAGTCAAAACATTTGAGGCTCCCCCTACGTAAATGTTTTAAGCTCCGCCTCCTCCATGTTAACTGTTTAAAATTTGAAATACACATCAAAATGTTTTTACTGAAACATGGATTCTGTCTTTAAAGTTAACTCTCCTTACGCTTTGTGACGACCCCTCCACACCTGTAGTTGTTTCTGTACTGCTTGTTCTTTTTGTTGTAGTTTCCGGTAAAGGCCGGGTCGCCATCAGCTTCACCTGGGCCAAGTGTAGTCCTCATCCATTGGTAGATTAAAGGTGTGATTTAATTACAATTAAATCACAACTTTAACAACCATGTACTGTCAATACTACCAGCTGATCCATTCTGCACAGACTCTAGCCAAACATCTCTGTGCTTGCTTTGAGGTTTTTTTGGCTTCACTTTTGTACAACCATAGGAAAAGTAGACGTGTCATCCATCTTTATATACAGTTAATCTCAAGTACAAGTAATTCTCTTGCATGTTAGCACAAGAATGCTTAAGTTATTTAATCAAGTCTGCTAAGAAACAGTTGAAAGTGTGACGTGGTTAAAAGCTAACAAGTGAGTAAAGATTATAAACTAATACCAATACTGATCGATACCTATGTACATTATAAAACACCAATTATGCTCTGAAAAGATGCAAATGAGGGAATGTTTCTTCAGCAAATCGCCAAAAACATGCAAAAAATATGTGCAGGTTTTTCAAAGTTATAATACTAGTTGTGTCTTAAAACAGAAGTAAGATCTGTGGTAATGTTTCAGAAGTAATATATTATTGCCTAAAGTATAACAAATATGTCACAAAAATCAAATGTACCCGTTTGTATGGGACTGGGGGACACTCTGTAGCGATTAGATTCTCAACATGTATCTTCAGCCAAACCAAAAACTTGAAGGTGCGAGTCAAAGCTTCACAGATATTTCGACTGGAGGGAGAAACACGGATTTTTCTGATGAATGGGCCTGAAAAATATAGAAATTCTGAAAGAAAAAACACATCTAATACCAGATTCAACTCTGTAAAGGGGTTATGCTTTTCCGAGAGATAAGTCGAGTGATGGTTCAGATATTAGTTTCAAACAAAAGACTCCTTCAACAAGTTCTCTCCCAGTAAAACCAGTGCCCTGCCTGTTTGTCTGTTTAGTCCCCAGAAGCTTGAAAAAAGCTCTTCGCTGCCGTCGTCTTTTCTGCTGATCCTGAGCTGTGCTTCTCCTCCGTATGCGGTGTTTTCTTTAAATAACTGTACAAACAGCGAGGAAAATAAAGGAAGTGCAGCTCGGGAACGAAGCCCCTGAACTCTCTTTGAAGTAAGACTTCCAGTTATTTTAATTTACTGTACAGCTTCAGGAAACACTGTTTGCACTAGCTGCACCTTCACAACTCTGTCCTCTTTCTCCTTTCTCGAGGGGGCTGGATTGTTTTAAATACGATCATTTTCAGTTTCTGGAATTGGCACTTGACAAATAACTAGATAAATAAATATATAGAACACCATCAGTAGCTCTTTTGTTTGCCGTTGTTTGTGTGTGGCGAAGCATCTCCTCGTCTCCTCCTGTTTTTCTGCGTCAGCGAAATGTCCATTCCCTGGAGTTCAAGAGACACAAGCAGCAGCATTTTCTGCAGGAATGTGTCCGTATGCTCGTGCATTTTCCCACAGCATGTTCACAGGTAAAGTCAGGTGTTTGTGTGTTAAATATTGACTCTGGTAAGCTGTTGCCGAGTGTGTGGTTTTAGTCCAGCGAGAGCAGCGGTTGCAAGTTGTCTTCTTCACTCTTCACTTTGTCCGGTCGTTTCAGGACGCCTGGTTCCACCACAGACTGAGACCTGCAGCCACACAACAGAGAACATGATGAGGTTATCTTAACAAAGTTTAAAAGTCACATATTATGCTAAATACACTTCACCATGATTTTCTAACACTAACATGTGTCTCCAGTCTGTCTACAAACCCCCCAATGATGAGAAAAGTCCATCGTCTCCGTCTTTCCCCTGCTCCACTTTTCAGAAAATGTGTGCTCAAACAGGCTGTTTGGATATTTTCCCTTTGTGACATCACAAAGGGCAGTAACCTCTCCCCCAGGTGGGTGACACTCCCACAGCTAGGTGTTTGTTCTGCCCTCTGAGTCTGCCTTCTCACCGTAAACAATAGGACATGGAGCGAGAAAGCCTGAGGCCTTCCAGAGAAGGGGCGTGGTCAGACACAGCTCATTTACATATTTAAAGGTACAGACACATAAACAGCCTGTTCTGAGCAGGGCTGAAATAGAGGGGTTTATAGGCATGATCAAATACAGGATCAGAGTGGATTTAGAACAAGAAACTTCACACACATGTTTTGAGGAGCTCTGAGACTTATTTACACAGGTTGACGAGGAGGATAAAATATGACCTTTGTTTTATATCGAACACGGACTTCATGATTATTGATCACTGTGCAGATCCGCAGTGACAGTCTGGCGTCTCAGCGCTTTAGTCCTCCTCAGTCTAAATGTCTCTGAGAGAGTCAGTTGGTTGTTACAGTGCAGTCAGAGGTTTTCTGTCACATTGAATCAGACTGTTTGGATGCCTATAGGGAGAATGATACTCTGCGAAATGTCAAACATGCCTCACAGTAACAAAGACACACTCTGCATAGACGTAGAAGAGAAACTAGACATACTATTCCCCCAACAGTTCAATGCCCTCGAATATCAGGAACACTAACACTACAATTAAACAGAGCAATTAAACTTGAATTGTTGCAGAACCCTTTTCAACAGGTCTTACTCTTTAGTGGTGTTTGCATAGTCAAATCTGATTGGTTTGGCTTTGCCTTTGGTCAGCTGATGGTCAAATATCTTTTTTTGCACTCATTGTTATACCCTCATTTGTGCATATTTAAAAAGAAATTCTTCTAGATTTGGAGTAAAGCTTTGTTCTATGATAGGACTTGATCGATCCTTTTTGTCACTCGTAAAGATCAACCGTCTGTTTAAAATTTGCCGCCGCTGTTCCAGATGACCTTGCTGTATTTTCACCTAGCTGAAGGAATTTATTCAATGAAAATGGCGGCTGCACTCTGACCTTTCCATTGACACTTCATTTGGCCAATTACAACCTTCCATTCACTATTACCAGCCTATTATAGCCAATGAGAGCCTGTGTTGAAAGGAGGTGCCGGCTCCTGTACTACTGTATTTGTACCCAGCAAATTGCACAAAACTGTGCCTATGGCTGACATTTCTTGTAGCCAATGAAACTCTGAACATGTCGATTTGCTGCTAAAATCAATAACTCTCATCCAGAAAGCAAGAAGAGCGTTTCTAACGTGAAAGAGATTGTGATCTCGACAAACACCTGCCTTAGGCCAACAATAGTATGTTTTAACAATTTTTTTGTTTAGCATTTCGACAAATTTCTTGGTTCATTTCAGCGTGTAGTTACATTTTTTGAGGAGGTGGACGCCAGGCTACGCCCGCAGGCTTCTGCGTAGGTACAGGGCCATAGAAGCATAAATCAGTAAAATATCCTAAAGTCCAACAGAGGTAAAGCTTGTGTTTTTTATGGTAGATTTTAAATTTTGCAATGTTTTGTCTGTAAAGTCTTGAATTGACCTTTATACTTATAGAGTATTTTTGCATGCATATTTATTTTGCTTTACAGAAACTGTAAATAAGTTATATTCAAACAAATGCACTAGGGTTTTTAAAGGTGGTTAAGCGGACCTCTTCATGGTCTTCGGGGACAGGTTCTTCTCCAGGTCTCTCTCCAGGTCTTGTACCGACAGGGTGTAGGACTCGGACAGTAGTCCGTCTCCTCATCGTAGGCGTGATCCAGCAGCGTCCGCGCCCACGTGCCATATCGTACGGCGGCATCATCCCGCCCAGCTCCGAGGGTAAGATCTCAGGATGGATGAGCTGGTGGAGGCTGTTCAGGTTGTTACCGTGCATGAAGATCTGCAGAGGGAAAGCAGAGACACAACAACGGCTCAGAAGGGACGTTTTATTTGTCTTCAGACTCTCATGCAGTGTGATCGATCACAGTCAGGATGAGATAAAGGGTTTGTTATATAAATCCAACATTTATCTTTACCTTTATAGCAAAAGCTGGTATTATTCAAATTTAAAGGTAATATATTGGTAGTGTTTTGAAGCAGTGGAAGCTGCTAAATCAAAAGTCATTATGTCGCTAAATAGAACCAAATATTTCTTAATGAACCAAACCAAGTTAGAGACACATTGATGTCTTAAAAGCGTGTACTGTATACAACATGGACGTAGTCTCAGTGACATCACCCATTGGTTACTGATGGGGATTTTTGAAGCCTGTTGATGGCAGTCACCATATTGGAAATGCTGTTTCAAGCTAACCTTTGTTCAGCTTAGTGACAGGTAAAGAGGTGGAGCTGTGGCGGGTCTAAAGCCTCCTGACAAACAGCTACAACACGCCCAACTGTCAGTCAGATCAGCCAGGTGCCTTATTATGACTAACTCTTATCCCTCAATCAAAATGAATGAGTAATACATTTATAAAAAAAATCGTCCTGTAGCATGTGTGCAGATCAAGAAACTTACTATTCAGACCAAATTGGTATTATGAACGAGGCTGTAAACATGTTTAATTCTGCTTTAAAAAATAGCTTTTTTGAATGGGTGTGTATGTGACTTCCTGGTCTTTTCCAGTCAGCCCCAAGTGGACACTCGAGGAACTGCAGATTTTTTTTTACTGGCTAAAAGGTGTGATTTAATTACTGGAAGGGGCTTCAGAAGTTGTTGCTTGCTTTAAAGCAATGACCAAAAAAATGCTCTGCAACCACCGTTTATCCCCACAGGTGCTGCCAAGGAGTACAAACCTAAAATCTTCATGATGTTACTGAATGATAAAATATTAAGTGAACTTTCATGTAATACTTTCTGTTCTTACCCTCTTCCTGGTCTTGTCTTTGAGGAAGGGTCTTATGACGGTGTACAAAGCGTGGATGTACCAGGGCTGGTTCACAAAGTGGATCCCTCCAAATCTGGCAGGAAAACTGTCCTGTAGGCAAAAGACACAAAGAAGAAAAACAGGTGAACAAAGGCCAAAATGTTGTCCTTCACCCCTTGTATCTAACAGACAACACGAGGATGCATCGCGGTAGATAAAAAGGAAGTTCAAGGCTTTTTCAGACCAGATGATTCACAGACTTTAGGCTTTGAAACAAAGAGTCTGCTCCAATCAGTAGGATTTTTTTCAGTCTGCTTTGACTTCCAGCAAGTGAAAAATTACCTCTGTGAGTTCCCTGTCCCTTTGCATTAGATTAGTTCTGTAAATGGGCTCTAATCTCATTCGTCAATAGGAAATGGTTCGGTCTATTTTGGAGTCTGCGCGGCACAAAGCCTGAGGGAGATGAGTCCTTGTTGCTGCAGGTTAGTCGTCTGGGCCTGACACTGTGTTTCCTAGAACACTGGACACAATTATGATAATTACACTGCACTCTGTGTGAGTGTGTTTTTGAGTGTGTGTGTGTGTGTGAGTGAGTCATATTTTGGCCGTGGTCCATCAGTATAACATCATGTTGTGATATAACAGTCTGGCTGATGAAAAAAAGCCATCTCTGAGCACATTTATAAAAAAAACTGTTTCCAGTGTTTGGAGGAGACGGAGACACAGAGGAGTCTTTGAGGTCAGGCCAGGATTGTAAATTAAGAGTTTGACCGATTTCGAATCATAAAGTCGCAGACACTCGCTTGCTCAGCTGGCGGCAATGTCAGCTACCAGACTGTCCAATGATGTGGTCCAGAGTGAGGTAGTGTGTCTGGACATCTAGAGCCATTGTGAAGACAAGTGTGATGTGAATATAAAAAAGAAAAGTGGGGGAGGGGGGGGGGGGGGCCGTAGCAGCAGGCCCTCCCCATGAATGACCCTGAGGAACCTGGGATGGCAGAACCTTTCTAAAGTAAAGATTGTAAGAATTGGTTAGGACATTTATAGCTACAACAGAAAAGCTGGGTGGAGATCGAACAGGAAGTGTTTGATCATTTGGATGGCAGCAGAGAGGTGGGTGCGAGACCCCGTCCTCATCTGAAATAGTCTCTATAACTTAAAAATACCACGATTAACGGGAAACCTAACAAGACAAATACTTAGAAACAAAAAGAAAATAAAAACAAGAAAAAACCTAAATGTCATGAGTCAACTGTTGATTTGGAAAAATTAAACCCAGCTCAAAGTGGTTCAGTCTTAATCTTTTCCTATCCTAGAATCCAATTAAAGATACTGAACATGTTCCAAAATATCAGCCTTATCAAATCTTACAAACTCAGTTCCGATAATAAAGAAGCTCATTTTGGTTAGCCCATCGTCCGACCGCCCCCCCCCATCAGCTGTCAGATCTCTGACTCTGGACCTCCGGCCTGCTCTCTGCTCTGACACACATTTTCACTTTGATGAAGGGACCTGCTGCATTATACATGAAACACCAAAAATGGAATATGAACTGCGTGGTCTCTGCTGCACCTGAGGGACCGGAGGAGAAGAAGAGGAGAGGAGGAGAAATAGGATCTAAAGGTTTGATCTGCTCTTACCCGAGTGATGTCTGAGGAAAATGAAAAAAAAAAGGTGTAGAGAGAAAGTGTTCAAACAGAGGCGGAGGGCTGTGCCGTGAGAAAAGTACAAGGGGGAGGAGATCTGAGAGGGAGTGAAACATGTTCAGGAGCAGGAAGGTGAAGGGAAGAGGAAAGCAGACCATCTCTTAAACTTTCTCTCCACAGCATTATTTTGATGTTGTATTACAGTTTAGATGAAAAAAGGTCAGGTTTCTTTGGGTTCTTATGATAACAGGACTGAAGAATTATTCTGAAAAAGAACAACAATATATACATTTTGAATGCTCCATTTATGCAGCTCTAAGACTCCGGGATTTCTTCTCGTTGTGTGCCCGTGCATGAACTGTAACACCTCTTCCAATCGTACCAGGACCAATGAAGTGTACTGACCTTGAGCACTGATCGACTCACACTAGTCACACTAACTGGACTTTAGGGGTGAAGCATGCTTGAGCATGGTACGGGTTGCCTAGTGTGAGGGCACCCTAAAAGTTACTGCTAAAATCTGTCAGTACATGTCGATGAACGATCATTTGAAGGAAAAATTAAGTCCTTAAGAGGATATCTACAGCGTGACGAAAACAGCTCAAATTTTCAGTAGACTTATAACCTGCCAGTTCCAGAAAAAAAACTTTCATTGCCCCCTCAGCTTGTTCTTTGATATTTGGCTTCTGGAGGTAGATGTCGATCGTAAACAAATAGACGACTCTGGGGATTTGTATTTCTGTCCTCTCACTGCAGGTCTCTCTGCAGAGCGTTTTCAGTTCCAGTGAAAGGTTAAAGAGAATTGAAGGTGACAGAGAAGTCTGTCAACATCTGCGGGACAGCGTGTGAAAGTGAGGAGTCATCTTTAAAAACTACTTCATACACCGGCTCGTATAGTTTTTAACGTTCCTACACCCTGTAGCTTCACGAGGATAAACACATTAGAAGTGTTTTTCTCTTCATAGTTTATTTAGCTGAAGAGAAACTTTGGCCACCTCATGTTATGTGTCACCGAGCAAAGCCGCAGATTTCCCTCCTAATCTGACTTGAAGTAGAGAAGAAGCTGCTAATCTCCGGATGGATTTTATCTTTTTGATGAAATTTAAGACCCCTTTTTTGTCTATGCGCATGCAGGTTGCCATATCACGGACTCTGAAGCTTCAGTGTTTAGCCAGCTCTGCATCGGTCTTGAAACCTCTCTGCGTTGTAACTTCTCTCCATTTTTCAAAAGCATCTCCAATATTGATCCTAGTTTGAGCACGTTTCTGCTTTTTTGATTGGGTAGAATCAGTTGTATCTGAACCGATTTGCTTGCCTGCTTCCATCGCTGCAACACCTGTTGGTTTGCTATTTGCCTGGGCAAACCGACCTCCACCTGCTCAAAGCAACCTGTTCACACACATTCATACACTTATTCAAACACACATTCATGGACAGACTTCCGGAGCAATTCTGGGTTCTGTAGTCCAGTGGCTCTTGGAAAAGTACGTGAAAGAAGTCAGGGATCAAAAAGACGATTTGCAAAAAATATATCACACAATCATTCCCCATTATATTTTTTTTTTGTGTGTGACTTAAACTGATCACTGATTGCAATGACACTTGCCATCTTGGTCTTTCACTTTTTCCCCTCCCATGACATGATTTCAACCTCGATGCAGTTTCTCGTGCGTCGCTGCTGTAAGAAAAGCTCACAGATCCAGAGGGGACACAAACCGACAGGCTGCCACCAACACTGAGGGGTAAACACTGAGAGCGTAACACTCAGCGGTAACAACATGTGACGTGTCAACTTCCCCTCGCCGGCCAAAGGAAAGAAACTGAAGAAGTAGGCCGATCATCAGGAGACACAGCTGCTTCTTTTTCTGCAATTCAGAGGGTGTGCACAACGACGTTGGCAATGTTTAGCAACTGTATTGTTGCTAATTTATTTGTGCAATGTAGACAGCGTGCAGGATTTGATGGATTTAGTCCTCTCCTACGCACCCGTCTTATGAAATAGATGTCGTTTTCTTTAAAGCATTGGTACTTTTCAATAACATCAACCATTAAAATAGCAGATTGTATCGTTTCAAAACAAATGGTTCTGAAAAGTATCTTAAGTATTGAACATTTTGACAAACTTATGTCTAATCTTTTCATTTTGCCTGCAACGATGAAACAACAAAAAGTGGGGGTGCAGTGGTGATTCTAGAGTCTTTCGGGGCATAATCGGGGCCCTACAACCTGCATACATTCATTCTGTTTCTGTTATCTCTCCTATAGACTGATAATTCCTCTGGGGCCCCGTGCAGTTCTTCGCCTTGCCTGTTGACAAGCAGCATCTCTACCTAGTGGTTAGGTTGCACCCCATGTACAGAGGCTATAGTCCTCTTCAAGTCCGGCCTGTGACACCTCTTCCTGATGTCATTTCCCCCACATCCCTATTTCCTACTCTGTCAACTGTCCTGTCCAAAAAACGAAAAAATAAAGAAATGAATAAACCTTAAAAAAATATAAAATTGCTTCTACAACCTCCAAAATTGTAAACTAAAAATCCACAACAATATTCTCCATAACAATTCACTCTCTGGACAAAGAAACTTTCATAAAATGTTGTAAATAAAGCCTATACTCATCGTCATACCGGCATCTGAGTAGGCCTTTAATTGAAAGATGGCTAACAGTCTCCTTACATTGCTTTGAGTTAGTGTCTAATGTATTTGTCATCATGAACCACCGATTTACAGACAAAACCAAACACTGCCAAAAGCCATCAAGTGATTTCAATGGCCAATTAACAATTAACAAATCTGGCTGTAAACACATTTCTTTGCATAATAAAAAAGAACAAATCCATTAGACACTGGGAGCTATTTCAAGTAAAACTGCAGCAGAGAGAGGGAACATGAAGAAGAGGAAGTTTGGACGACAGCATGAGCAAGAGAGAGTGTTTTGAATCAATTTTTTTTGCATATCAAATGAGCAGCTTTGAAAGAAAAGGAAGAAAGAAGGAGACTAACTCCAAACTTCCACCAGATACGTGTGCACTGCATGTCGGCTCCATGCACCCTAGTCTCACTGTAATTTTACAGATTCACTCACGACAGCGTGAGATAATACAGTGTATGTGGTATAAAACTCGCTATAAACACATAAACAAAAACGCAAACGGTCATTTTCTGAACCGTTAAAACTGAGTGTTTTATTCTGAAAACAAACCGGATGTTTTAATGTTGTTTCGGTGTCCCGTCCCACTTGTTCTTTTCTGTGCTAAATTGACGTGTCGTGCTCCGGAGCTGAGACACAGCGGAGGGGAGCCAGTGGAAGCACACAAGAATAAAGTGAATACCTATCAGCTCCACTGCCAGAGAGCAGAGACGGACCAAAAACGCATCTGGTGGCAGTTGGCCGTAACGGGCAGATTCCACAGGATCCGTGAGGGCCGTGTTCCATCCACTCTGCGTACTCCAGACCCGATCACGC